AAAGTTATAAATAATAATAAATTGATTAACAATAAAAATATTAAACGTAAAATATTTAAATTTTTTGAAAAATAAAATTTTAATTTTATAATCATTTTGAAAAATTATTAAGTAGTTTAATCTATTTTTTTAATGATGAAATTGCTCTTCCAAAAACATCTTTCACTAAGTTATTATGTCTATATCCTAACATGACATCTTTTAACATATTTAGTTGCATCATCATTTCATTCATGATACTTGGGTAATTGTTAATACAAAAAATAAAAACAAAAATGATAGTTGGATAATTAGATCAAACTTATCATAATTTTTTTTTCTTTTTCTCAAAATTAGGGAATATAAATTAATAGAAGGAGTTACCAATAGGAAAATTAATTAAGGATAAATAATATAATATTTAAAAATAATAATAATAAATAAAACAAATGGGTCAACCTGTCAACCCGCGGGTTGACCCTAACCTTACTCATGACTCGTACAGGTTGATAATATGGGTTATCTACGGATTGCAAGTTGAGATATGTAGACCCAACCCGTTTTTTACGAGTCAGGTTAAGGTCGAGTTAACGGGTCGGGTAAATTTTTGCTAGGTCTAGTGAGAGCAAGCATGAGAAAAGCTAAGTGAGTGAGTGCTCTTGTGAGAGAAAGGAAAGAGAGAAATTGTAAGAAAATCCTTGTGAAAATTAAGAGAGAGTATTAAGGAGAATTTGGTAACTTCTATATATTGAAATTAAGGTATTGAGTTTTTTAAATGAGAGAATTTTTAAATTATTGTACTATTTTTTCTTAATAGTGGATTTCTTTCTTTTTTTCTTGTGAACGTAGACTTGTTAAGAGGTGTGCAAGTCGAATTACATTAAATTGTTGTCTCAATTTCTTTATTATTTTCGTTTGCGTTGAATTGTGGTGCTCAAAATTCCCAATAACAATATCATTAGCGTAAGACCTAAGCGGAGACCACAAAGTATATATCACGAAAGGAATAAGATAATCATTTGAATCAAACTAAATGTTTACGTGTAAAAAGATTCAAACTTACCTCAACATCCATCCATCCATATTAATTATTAGAGAAAAAACGATTTCACCCTCCTCTGCAAATCTCAGCCTCCATGTCATGCCCAAGTATAAGGCTTCAACTGGCCAAGAAAGCATGGAAGAGGTACACCGCCAAACTCCAAACCAAGCTGCACAAACTCCATAAATCCAAAGCCATCAAAAAACCACCCAAGAACAGGCTCAAAGGAGCAGCCTCAAAACGTACCGAGCCATCTCTGATTTTCGTGGGGTGGCCTCTTCAATGTAAAAGCTGTCGTGCTCTACCTGCTGGCCTCTTACGCTGCCATTTATTCAAAGCCAAAGCCGAAGCTGTGTATATTAATAAACTCTTCAAAGAAACTGTCCCTCGGCTGGTAGAGCATGCAGAGGTGGAGCCACGGCCAGCAAAGCTGGCCAAAGAAATCGAGGCGGATGATCAGCCAGTAGCCACACCGCCTGGAACGAACGAGGGATGTGTTGAAAAAGAATCTCCGGTGGCGGATGATGTTCGGGAGTCAATAGGATTAGCGTCTGCCCTGAGGCAGGGATAGATGAAAGAGCAGAGGAATTTATTACAGAGAGATGGAGCTTCAAGAAATTATGGCTCGTAATTTGTAGCGATTATCAATGAATTTGTAATCAAGAAACAGTACAAGAATAAATTTGATTTTTAGAATTAAACTTAAGAAAATGTTCTTAATTTACAGAATAAATTGAGGAAAACTTAAGAAGATAAGTTTAGTTCGAGAAAAACAGATGAGAGGAGGGAGAAAGAGGAGGGTGCAAGGACGAATTTTTTTATTAATCAAGTTCCAAAATTGACCAACGTGATCAAAATAATCATTATCCATTCTCCTTAGCTTAAACCAAACATACTTGAAAAAAAGGAAAAAATAAAAAGAAAAACGGGGATGATGACTACTACTGTTCCTCTGTTTCATCTCCTTCATTCTTAACAGAGATCTCTTCTAAAGATTTCCCTTTGGATTCGGGCACCAAGAAAATGAAAAGGAAACCCAACGTGTTGATTAGACCCAATACAATCAGCAAATTCTTCACTCGAGTAAAACAGAGGAAACCAAGGGCTTGGCACTCCGAAGTTCAACATTAGGAGAGGATTATTTGGAGAGAAAATGGGCACTCCGTTACTATAATGATCTTCGATAATCCTTGGTAATACTATAATCTTCCATACGTAATTTATTTATTTTATTGTATTTTAATTATTAATTTTAATATATAATATCAAAACAAATTATACATGAGTTTAAATTTTAAGATTTTACCTATAATCGTATCTATTATATTATCTAAATTAAAAGTTAAAACATAATTTCATTGTTGCATAATTAATAAAATTGAAAACTTGAAATGATTAAGGTTGTGTTTGGGAATATGTATTTGTACTCAGAATGTGTATCTTAAATACATGTATTTGAAATATATGAATTTAAAATACATATATTTTAAAATACATTATTTGGATTGAATAAAAAAATAAATTTCAAATACATTTATGTTTAAATATATTGTTTGGATATATTAAAATACTATGCATTTAAATTTAAATTTTTTTATTAAATTAAGAGTTTATTTATCTTGTACTTTTAAGGTACAAGATAAAAAACAATCATTAGTTAATAATAATTATTTTTTCTTAAAAGATATGAGATTTCAAATTAAAAAAAAAATTGATTTTAATTTCAAAATGAACAAATAAAAAATTAATTGAGAATCGGCTAGTTAATCAAGAATTGGTGTGAACTAGATTCGCCGAATTCAACCCTCACCAAGATCCCATTTGAGGAAATGCAACAAAACGAGATTCTTGCCCGTTAAATAGGAGAAATCCACTTCACCAGTAAGATCAATTCTAATCGCAGCCTTTGAAAATCAACAGATGTAAATCCTAGAAAACCTAAAAAGCCACTGCCTTGTGGTCCCTTGGGTTATAGTTTCCAAAGCAAGAGAGCGACAACAAGAAGGAGGAGATCAAGAGGAGGAAGGGAGGGGTAAGAAGAAATGAGGGATGAAGGAATTTCTATGCTCGAGAGAAACCCTAGAGAGGAAAACTCGTCGCTACTGCTCTCAACGTTAGAAGCAACACATGGGAGAAACCTTAAGGAGGCCATATCTGATTGGATTAATTTGCTATAATTTGAATTTATTTTAATTGAGTTTTATTTTTATCTAGGTCAAATTTTGATTTTATTGAATTGATTGATTCTGGTTGTTGTGATGGTATATTATAGAAATCAATTGAAAAGTTTTGTAGGGATTGGGGAATGGTTCGCGGGTTTGGTGGTATAAACCGGGCTGTTGCTAATTCGATAAAAATCCACGTTCATGTTATGATACAGATTCTGATTATTAAGGATGATTAAAGGGACATTTCTTATCTAGCCCCCTAATGATTTTGTTTAATGTACCTTCGTCCCTAAAGTTTTAAAAGCTTGCAAAATATGGCACTAGTTGTAAAGTGGATGCTTAATCGTCTAAGTAAAATAAGTAACACGAAAGTTAAATAACTCAATTAAATAGATTAAGTAAATAATTTTAAATTTTTATATTTATTATTTAATTTGATATTTATGAATATGTTATTTTTATACACAATATTTTTTTTTTAATAATTCTAGTAAAATACTTAGAATTAATGGTTGTATCTGATTGCATACTTACCTCTAAAAGAAAGGTTAAACCCTCAATTTGGTTTCTCAACTATTATATAAACTCTTAAAATGATTTTTAAATTAAAAAATTATTGATTTAATCCTTAAAATTTTTAAATTTAACTACAAAGTAGTCCTTTTATTAAAAAACAACTAATATGTCTTATTACTTAATTGCAAAAGATTGTTACTTATGACCATGTGTCACATTAGTAATAGGATATATTAGTTATTTTTGAATGGAGGGGCCAATTCAGAGAAAAATTTAGAAATGTTAGAGACTAAATCAAGAATTTTTTAAATTTACAGACCAACTTAAAAGTCCTTATAATAGTTGAGGGACCAAGCTAGGGGTTTAACTTAAAAGAAACGTAAGAGTTGAAATGAAATGAGATTGGGATTGGGATTGGGATTGGGATTGGGCCCAGAACAACCGAGCCTGGCCCCATAGTGTAAATAGAATAGAAAAGATTTGTCTTGGGCCTTAGCAACACTATTAAAACCAAAAACGTGGCGATCAGATACCGCTGAACCATTCGTGGCCACGTGGGCCCCATGGACGGCGGAGATTTATCTGAAAAAGTACATTTTTCTAGATTCCGGGTCAAATTGCATAAAGAAAAGCAGTCAAGCGTTAATACTACGCACCGCCCCACTTTCTATTTTCCTTGTCTTTCGTCATCCTTTTTTTACAATAATAATTATATAAAACGCCAAACTCTTCAAAATTTTTTATATAAAAACATTTTTAAAACATACAAAAGATTTGAAATGTCAATAAAATGAAAAATTAACTACTAAAGAATTTTTTTATTGGATTGTGGTCCCTTAAAGTTTTGTTAATTATTTTTTATTAATTGATATAAAAAATATAAAAATTAATTTTATTTTTAATATTAATGACACATACATAATTTAAATTAAACAATCTTATAAAATTAAAATTAATTTTTATTTTTTTATAATTAATAAAAAATATATAATAATTACATTTTTAATTTATGAACACATTATAAAAAAATATTTTTTATTTTAAATTATATAAAAATAACACTCTTTTATTGTTATATTATGTTATTTAAATTTGATCATTTTTAATTTTTCAGAATAAAAACTATTACTCAATTGTTAGGAAAATATTTATTTTAAAAAATATATTATATAATCTAAATATAATAATTACATTTTTAATTTATGAACACATTATAAAAAAATATTTTTTATTTTAAATTATATAAAAATAACACTCTTTTATTGTTATATTATGTTATTTAAATTTGATCATTTTTAATTTTTCAGAATAAAAACTATTACTCAATTGTTAGGAAAATATTTATTTTAAAAAATATATTATATAATCTAACAATATAAATTAGATATGAATCCTAAAAACGAAGTTGTCCATCCCATCCAATGGTACTCCTTCTTTAAACTGAAAGATCCTTTTTTCTTAAATTGCCAAAAGGCAAAACCATAAGTTAAGCCACTGAACTAACCTCAAAATTGCCATTAAGCCCCCTAAACTTTAATTGAGGCATATAAGCCCTTAAACTCTGGGATCAAAGCAATTAAGCCCTTCTTCTTACACCAACTTAACTGCCGTTTGGGATTGCTCGCCTGACTTAACTGCCGTTGAGGACACACCCCGCTTTGGCTGCTTGGATGGCAAAATATTGCCATGTCATACTTACATGGCAAGAGATTTAACATTTGACTTGAATTTTTTATTTATTTGATAATTTAATTTTTTATTTAAATAAAATATAAATAAAATAAAATCATAAATGTGGATGAAAATATTATTTATATAAAATCTTAAATTTAAATTTAATAAATTAAGTAATAGATATTAAATTTTT